CATACTGTTCATCATCTTGTTGACCTCTTATTTCACGCCTAGGAGAATCATTAAACATTCTCATGGCTGTCACCTTGAGCAAGATTAAACTCAACCTCAGAATAATGAGTTATCCATTTTATTTTGTTTTTAAATTCAAAATACTAACAAAACTATAATCAGTGCGCAAACCTGCCGCGCGAGGGAGCTTTTCCAGGGCCTTAACCTTATACCATATATATACGGTACCATAAAGAGACATTCTCATAAAGCTTTATTAATTTGCTTTGGCTTCTTATCAACTCCTAATCTTAAAGATTGCACCATTAATAATAGTAAACAAATAAGTTCAATTATCACTGTTTTTATAGGTTTACACTTCCAAAATGTTTTAATGTTCAATAGTTTACTAAATCTGTTTCACTGTAAAGGTTCTTGATATTAGTCAGAATAAAATCGGCACTTCTGACACCAAAATGTTACCGTTGTCACTGTTTGAAATGATTTTGTCAGATCACTTTTAAGGCTACTGAAGTTAAGATGGTAGCGGTAATTTACCATAACAACTTAATCAATGAAAAGAATAATAAACACTTGAAAAATACCAAAACGCTACCAAAGTACAGTTAATCTTATTTATTAAGATTCTTCTGTTAAATAAATGCATAAAACAGGATTAATTGAATACTGTAAATTAACATGTAAATTATTGCCCTTGGTATAGTTATTGTAAAAGATCTAATGAGTTCGTCAATGTAAAAGTTGTAACAAGAAGGGGTTATAATGAACGTATTTCGCTGTAAATTACAGTTAAGTCTTCTAGCGGAATATTTATTAGCGGAATGTTCAGTTTTGACGGATTTCCGTTGTGGCGGATTTTTTTAGTTTAGGGTTGAGCTACTGTTCAAATAATAACCTTGATAAGTCCCGTGTTTCATCGGTTGGAAAAAGCTGCTCAACTGAATTGAGCGTCGGTAAATTCTTAGACTTTGGCGTGTTAATCCGAAATGAAATTTGCCCCGCCGCTAAAAACAATTCAAAAGTACTCTTATCCAATAAGATTCGACAACGGAATTAGTTAACCAATCACAGCGTTCCGCTAAACATGAGCACAAGTCTATGGCTCATACGCCCGTCAGTACAAAATCAGATCCGTCAAGGATCCGCTAAAATGTTATTAAATTCTTTTATAGAATAATAAATGACATAAAATATGCGGCAGATTTTTATAATGAATAGTCACTCTTTTTTCCAAAATATGATTAACTGGTAGTTTCGTTGCATTTACAGTACTTCTATGATCTCTTGTTTATATTTATATTAGTCAATGTATAAACTATCTTGTAAACTTGAATGAACTTTCTACGTCATAGTGTACACGATGACATCAATAATGTTGATTACATCACAGCTTTGTGTATGGAAGACAGGTTTCGCCATAATCATTGTTCAACAAGCACACGATCTTTGGAGTTGTAGAGCATACATACATATATGACATACACGATTGAATAATTATGTAACTTGTTCAGTAGATCTTGATCTATAGCATATTATTTTTAAATTTCATGGACAACATTTAAAAAATGTACATGTAGGCCTACAGTATGGCTTAATTGTTTTTTTTTAAATTTCCCCTATACTTTTCACAGTTTGATAAAATAAGTAAATTTGATCATTCTTGTTATTTCATAATTATCTAGCAAAAATGCAGCAAAGAATTTAATCATTTCAAAGCAAGATTGGACATAAAAAAAGACTATTGAAAAAAGACAAAGATGTTAAAATTTTGTGGAAAATTACGTACATTGGGCACAATGGTAATTTCCGGGGGAAATTTTTTTGCGTGGTTTAGGTTACCTTTGTGGAATTTTTTTTATACAAAGGAAAAAGCGCGGTTCCTAACCAAAATACCCGGGTTTTATTTCCCGTGGTATTTTAACCCGTTTATAAATTGGGGCTATGCCCAATTTTTTAAAATTTCCAAATGGTTTTGGATTTACCGCTTTATAAATGAAAAATGGGGGGATGGAGCATTGTTCATCATAAATTGGTAGGGCTTCCCCCTAGAGTTAGAATATGAAATGTATTTTCTTTGGAACATACAAAACAGTAGTCAAAATGAACCAAGTCTGTTTTTATTTGTTTGGGTCGTCAGACCAAACAAATAATGGTAGCAAAATTTCAGACTCTAATGCTGTTAATTGCAAGTGCCGAAAGTAGACCGCTTTCTTGAAGCGGTTACTTCCCTTTATATGTAACACAAAGGCCGAAAATTCAGGGGAGATCACTGCGTAAATATGGTCAAATGACAGGCGCATGAATTTTCAAGCAAAAGAATTCCCGAATGGTCGAAGGTTTCTAATATTGTTTTATTCTTTTTAGATTTTTGTTTATTCTTTTTAGATATACATGCTTATAGTAAGCGCCATGACTATTTACACAAGTGTTAAACAACAGTTAGCGTCGTTACAAATCCTAATTAGAATAATATGGTTTTCTTCAGGCCGTTAACGTATAAATTTCACCGTGGCCGAGGGGTTTGCGCGCTCGCTTAGGAAGCGAGAGGTCTGGAGTTCAAATCCCAGATAAGGCAACTCTTTTTTTTCAAATTGTTTAAGTCAAATAAACATTGGATTGAATATCAGTGTTGCAATTAGTCTTATAGCCAATCTACTACTGTAACAATTAAAACGCTGGAAAGCATTGGTGGCACTATACAAAAACAAATTGGTTTATAATCTCACAACCTTCACCTTTCTGACATTCTGAGACCCAAACAAATTCAGCTCCTTCTGTGCTTTGATTTATAATTAGTATTGTTACAAATCTACAAACAGTAAATAAAAATAGTAAGAAAAGGTACTAATTTAATAATATTACAGGTATATTTTTCATTTCAAATTAAAAGAAAATGGTTTCTATTTATACCTGGGACTTACGATACATTAGTTATATTTCAAGTCGCAGATAAATACTGAAAGTAGAACACACCAAAATTTAGGACTTATTTTGTTATACACGCCGTATGGTGAAAAATTATCAATATAATGGAAGACTGTTACCTGAATATGGGGAAATTCACGTGCGAGTCACATATATAAAGCTATTTGACATTGGTGATAAATAAAGGGCTATAGTTAATTGTTTTATTTGGGAGATCAATCTACTATTTAGTTGAATTGCTTCAACATCCTCGTCTGATTCACCAGTGGGTTTACATTCCTATCAATAAACACATAACACCTCATATTAAAACTGCAGACGAAAGTTTCTGTTGTTAAAATGTCACAGTATTCGGCAAATCAACATTCCATTCAAACCACAATTAAACCGAGTGCCTTCAAACAAAATAGAATCAACTTCTTACAGCAAAAATTGGCGTAATCGGGGTCGATTTAAATATACACCGTAAAAAATGTGCAATCAGGGCCGTAAAATATGAAGGAGCTTTTAATTTACCGTAAAAAACCTACGAAAAGAAAATTTAAAAATGACAATACTATGATATAACAAATCGTAAAAATGGCCTTCATATTTTTTTCGATAAATTTACAAAGAGTGCAATTTATTGTTGAATATGTTTGCATTTCATTTGCTGCAATATCCTCCAATTCGTTATCTATTACCATAGCGCGACACGAATGATCTTTTCATTTAGACTAAAACTACGTCTATAAATAGAATTTCCGACTTTCACGATGATAAGCTAGATCATCTATTTACAGCTTTCGAATTCATGTACAGCAATAAAATACATATATAACCCACTGTGTTTCTACAAAATAATAAGTAATTTCCTGTAGAAGATACACATGTAAGAAATAAATTACCGTTTTGTTTTATCTTTTAAACTGCCTACCCAGCTGTTGAGTCGTGAACTTTGTTCCCGTTTCCATTCATTTATATGGCATGCTGCGAATCACCGAAGCGAAAACCAATATATGACTTTACATAATAAAAATCGGAAGGAATTCTTTATTAAGAATATATTTTTAGCTGTAAATCGAAGGGATTAATTGATAAAATTCGGGTCCATGGACAAAAAGATAGTAAACACAAATAGCTCCGCTAATGGGCCAAGAGTAATAAAACTATAATGGCTGAATATAAAATTATTTCTTTTTTGGTTGGCGTGTACGTCGCACTAACACTGTCAAGGTCACAATACAATTTTCAAGGTTTACATGTGGATGTAGACCTCAGGCGCCCCTTCGTGTATTATTTCAGGTACAAGAGGGTACGTGAGTGGAACCACCGACGTTCCGTTAGCTAGGTTATAGCTTCCTCACATGAAAGAATTTGAAATCCTTGGCGAGATTCGGACCCACAGAGGCGAGAGACATGTTGTTTGAATTCAACTACCTAACCATTAGGTATCGGACGCCCCTATCAAATAAAAGCAAACCGTATATCCAAACAATATACTATCAAAGGTCCATTAAGCCCCAGAAATGCTTTCATTTTATTTCTCAAAATCTTAATTTTTGGTATTTTTTTATAATTTCCATCAATGTACTGAATGGCTTAATTAATTGTTACCTACCGTCTTCTTCTTTTATTGCTTTTTGTCAATTAGTACATTTATAGTGACTAAATGTTTTGTATGGACGTCAAATTACTGTTTTGTTTACATTTTACTGCTTTTTGACTAAACATTTTTTAGAGCTTTTTATTCAGTTCACAAGCATGCAACGTGCTCTAAAACCATTATTTAAACTTTATAACACTCATACTTAACCTTTCTAAAGAATTAAATATTTGTTCATTTCTGAGGCATAATGTGCGTTTAGCATAAACATTTAAACACGGAGAATGAAAACTGTTATCTAAACGTGAAGCAAAATACTATTGTGAGTAAAGTTTTTACGACACTCTGGATCTTTAAACCCATCTTTCTACAATGTGTACACACGTACAGATGTTTAACATTACACATATATACCTGTTTTTAAAAGTTTAAAATTTAGACTTGTCAGGTTATTAAAGCTTTATCTCGCTTATGTAGGTCAGGTTTAATTTTTTTGAAAAAAAAAAGCAATATGTTGTGGAGTTTAGTATCAATAGTTTTAAGTTTACTTGCACTTAAACTTTTTATGAGTGTTTTAAATAAAATCAAAATCAGCAATTATAAGGGCCGGTATGTACTCGTCACAGGTTGCGATTCAGGGTTTGGCTATTTGTTAACCAAAAAACTCGACTTGTTAGGTTTCAATGTGTTTGCTGGATGTCTAACGAAGGCCGGAGTTGAGAATCTAAGAAGCGAGTGTTCAGAAAAAGTAACCGCTGTTCAACTAGATGTATCGAACGATGACAATATAAATGCAGTAGCAGGCCTCGTCAAAAAGAAGCTTAAGTCAGACCAAGGTACAATTTTACTTTAATCTTACTTTAATCAGAGTAATGAATTCAGCGCCAAGTTATTATTTCAATACATAATTATAAAATGATATTGATGTTCAAACACCTGCAGACAAGATATAACTGAATAATTCTAAATTGTTTGAATGTTATTTCAAGGTGTTCCTTTAATATACCTAAATTTGGTAATCAATTAGAAATTAATTTGCTCAAAATTTCAAAAGAACACGAGTTACATTATTATTGTGTCTATTTTTGACACCGTGTATTAGGACACCAGTTGGTTTCTGCATTTAAATAAGATATCTAGTAACTGATATATATATATTGCGATTGTGACATAGGTTTGTGGGCAGTCGTAAATAACGCTGGAATTATTGGCAGTATTGGCCCAACATCATGGCAAACACGAGAAGACTATGAAAAAACAATGTCAGTAAATCTTTACGGTGTCATCATGGTAACCAAGACTTTTATGCCGCTGGTTCAAAAAGGAAAAGGCAGAATCATTAACACATCCAGCGTCATGGGAAGAATTGCCTTTGTCAGCGCATCCTACTGTATTTCTAAATATGGCGTGGAGGCTTTCTCAGATGTCCTTAGGTTTGTGACTTTATTCACTTGCAGAATAGAATTTGTTAAAACATTTAAGACTTTATTAATGTAATTTCTACAAATATAAAACTTAAACCCCATATTCCAATCTTTAACCTGTAGAGGTAAGGTGCCGCTGTCAATTTCAAGGGTGTGGAGTGGTGAATAACACAAGTGACACATTTTCTGTGTAACTAATGTTCTCTTTTGTATAAAACTTAGTATACAAAGTCATTTTACATTTTAAGCAAAAATCAGTAAGATATGACATCACATTAAACCATAAAATCACATGTCATATCTTACTTTTGTATGCTCTCAAGTGGTGAAAAGAAATGTAATGTTACTTAATGCATGAGTGAGGGAGAAATTTATTTAAACTCATCTCCTTAATAATTAATGTACAGAAAATAAAAACTTTCAAAAAAGTATAATACGGAATATGAAAGTAATTTAATGGTAGGTAAGGTGGGCAAAAAGTGCCACAATACACGAAAATGTTAAATGTACTGAAAATAAAACTTTAAAAAAGTATAATACGGAATATGAAAGTAATTTAATGGTAGGTAAGGTAGGCAAAAAGTGCCACAATACACGAAAATGTTAAAACTCATCAATAAGGCAGCAACCAACCATCACAAACACCTGCATTTAACATTTGCAAATAAAAGCTTTAAAACATGTAGAAGATATACTTGTTCCAAATATTTAATTCATATAATTATATGACCTCCCTTTAGTTTTTACTAGATCATTATCTTACAGTAATACAGTAAAAAAACTTAGCATCACTTGACTTTAAAAGATCTTCATGACATGAGTAGTAGTCTAAAATATGCTTAAGGAATTATTATTTTCAAGTAGTATTACACATTTCATAACAAAAGAGTACTAAATGTCGCACATATTCTAAAGTTTAAGATACAGAAATATGCATGAATTTACATATTAGGATAACCTCATAAGTGTCAAAGTCCAAATTATTTCGATTTAATAATTAAGTACAAAAGTTGAATAAGCAACCTTACTGAATTATGCCATTACATTAAAACGAAACTAAAATATGAAAAAAGTTATAACAATCTAGGGCATACTTATTAACATCATCTTTAATATTATCATACATAGGTTTTGGAGTAACAGTTCAAATATTATCCTGTAAATAGTAAGTGTTCCGGTAAAAGTCGAAATAACTTCACATTTTGCCATATTTGTTTTGAATGTATCATTCTACCCCATTGGTCTATTCATAACTAATTTGACTTAAAATCTAAAAATATCTTTCGGATTGAATGTTTAATCTTTGGAAAAAGTGGGACAGTCTTTTTATATCTCAAGTCGTTTTAATATCAATTATGGGCCAATAGCGATTATATTACATGTATTAAAGCCATTTTGTGAAATATATAGTAAATTCATCTGAACCTGACAAAAACACAATGTGTATTATGTCACTTTAATAGCCTAACGTTCCTAATCACATTTGACGGGATATATTTGATTATTAAATGGGTATGTCAAAGGCATTTTGATGGCTTTGTTTTTACAGTTTCGTGTATGTTGGTATGCATTTATGACTTTAATATTTCTGTAATAGAAGACTATTTAGTTAATTTGCAAATATAAGACAAGGAAAGGTACAATAATTTACATTTCAGACAAGAGATGTATGGATCGGATGTAAGCGTACACATTATAGAACCCGGATTTTATAGAACAGCTCTATTGGACAGAGAATTTATTTTTTTTTTTTAATTTTTTTTTTTTTTTTTTTTTTTAATATTTTTTTATTATTTTTTTTTTTTTTCTTTATTTTTTTTTTTTTTTTAGAAAAATTTTTTTAAATTTTTAAATTTTTTTAATTAATTTTTTTTTTTTATTTATTAAATAATTTTGAAAAGTGGGAACCAAGATAACAAATTTACCGAAGGACATCAAAGAGACACTACCTGTCAATTTAGTTACACTAAGTATATCAAATTTTAACAATTACTCTTGTGTAGATGTTTCTGTAGTTGACTGAATAATAATTCTTTGCTTGTATGTTTGTTTGGATATTTTGTTTCAAGTTTGCATCATATTTTATTTTAAATGTTTTGAAATGTTTGAAAAAAAAAACGGATTTGAAAATTTGATCGATGGGTTTACAACAGAAGTGTCGACGGATCACATTTAAAACATATCTCCAAAATGTCAGAGCCGCTGATTAGTAGGGTGTTAACACTGTACAACCAAGTCTGATAACAGAGTTACAATATCATACCGAACCAGTATAAATTAGCCGTTTAAACGACTGAAAAGCAAATTTTCATAGAAGCCTGTTAATTTCCTGTTAACATCGGGTAAAACTACAGAAACTTGATTAATATATGATGTTGTATATTCATTTCTTGTAGGTAAAAATTAGTTTTGAAGCACGTGTTGTTAATATTTGAAGATGTTTACCTTTCAAATACACTAATATATATAACTCATGCTATATAATTATTTTGTTTCGATTTTATATATTCATTTAGTAGTTTTGAACAAATAAACAAAAATTTAAAAAAAGTAGATAGTTCCAGTACATTTTGTTTCAATTTGCATTTCACAGTGGGCGATGGATTTGAAAGATTAGTAAAGAAAGTGGCATCTTCAAATGTGCATGAGGTTGTAGATGCATACATAAATGCAATAACATCAAGGTTTCCAAGGAAAAGGTACATTAATTTTTTAAGAATTTTAATGGGTTTAAGCCATTTATTTGATTTGGATTTTATTCTTTACTATAAAAGTCTCATATATGCAAATATATTTATATAGTCATATATATCAAAGATAAAAAGACCATAATGCATTGTATAGCCATTCATTATAGAATTACAAAATACTGTTTCTTTGTTTCTAAGAGATATAATCCACAGCTCGTATTCTAGTAGTAAATATAATCTTGAGATTCACGATGGTCTGCATATCTATTTTGATAAAAACATACACAGGAAAACATTTAATAGCTTGAAGAGACTCTATCCTTAACATAAGACCTGTTATATCATAAGTAATTATCTTGATAGTATTTAGAATCATAAGAGATACCCATACTATTGGATTTTGATGATAAGTCTGAGATGGCCCAATAGCAGATAATTAATTGATCTAGAAAGAGAACAAGTAGAGGATTTGATGCTAAAAACATCAAATCGCCGGATAGAAAAGTGATTGTATTATTATATATGTAAGAACATATCAGTTTAATGGTTCAAATAGAAGGAAAATAGGAAACAAAATGTTGAGTAACTGTTTATTAACAATTAAAAGCAAACTTGCTTAGCAATATTGTCATGAAACTGCTATCAATTATTAAATAAGCATGCTTTTAATGTTAAAGATTTTATTGATAGTATAGATCTCGATATTAAAATCAATTAATACTGCTAGATGGCCTAGTGGTAAGTATGCTGTGCCTAGTAGACGCAAAATTCGAATCTTGGACAATTCATTTGTAGTTTTCATGAATATATATTGTTTTGGCTTGCGGCCACAGCCATTTGTTTTGGAAAATTGTTCCGGTTAGGTGGTTTCCTGCTTACATTTGTAAGTGGCATGATGGAACGAGAAACCAGTCTAGGTTTCCGCTGCAATCGTGACAATTCGGGCGATTCCGTCATACTGCGGAATCAAACGAAGTAATATTACGGAAATCTAAGCTATTTTTAGTTGCTTCGGTAATTCCAGTTTGTTTCTATTAAATAGGATTTCTATTTTTACTTGTTTTATCGGTTTTTAAAGCGTAGGTAGAAGGAAGAAATAAATTATAAACGAAAATGTTTCGTTTCAAATGGTTTTCAAGACGCAAAAATTAGTTTCTTTTATGATTGATTTTGTCTTTATTAGTTTTATACAATAAAGAATGGCTATTGTAGTAGAATTCCGTCTCCAAAGGAGGGTCCTACTCACCAAAAGATCGTGAGCGAATCACACAGAGAATTAGTGCGAACAAGTTAAAATTGCATAGCTCTATCACATTTGTCTGCGATCGAGTTATAGTTAGATCTACTGTGTCTTATATTTAAACGCAATTCTAACGCGGAGTTAAAACTATAGTATAACGTCTTGGTGATCGATTATCTAAAAATAGCCCAAGCATATCATTAACCTTACCACGTGCTGGTCTACAGATAGCGCATCCTGTGTTTTCGGTATATCTGTTATCAATAGACAAGTGACATAGATATTTAGGTGTAACATAGTTGATACATGCATATTAATTGGTACCACGTAACGAAGTCTTTTAGTGCATTTACTTGTCTATAAAGGTGCTATTTAAATGAAATTTTAAATTGAAACTGCCAAAACGAATAACTCTTTCTGCGAAAAAAAGTGATAGTAGATTGATATTTTTATTTCCTCCACGTGGGAGAGCCAGTGTTTGTATTTTTATGATTGATTATTTCTTTATTAGTTTTATACTATTTCAAATCGTTTTGACAATAAAAAAAATATTCGTTTTTCACAAAAAATAGTGTTATTGTTATGTCAGCATGTTCCGTCCTTCTTTTGTCCAAATTTGCATGCATTACACTGGTGGAACAAATGGGCACAGTGCTCGTCCAGTCTTGGGGTTACCCAACCTACCCCTTTAAAAGTGAAACATTTTTTTTAATCTTAAATAAACCCTTTATGATATACAAATAATTAAAAAAAATAGTGATAATAAAATTGACCCTCTATACCTGTAAAAAACATAGCTAGTACCTTGTTTTTTACTGGTATATAAGGTCAATTTATTATTATTTTTTTATAATTATTTCTTTATCATAAAGAGTTGATTTAGGAGGTTTTTAAAAAAAAATAAAAAAAGGGTTGAGTGATGCACAACTAGGCAATCCTATCCTTTTAAAGGGACACTTTATAATTAATTCTTTTAAATATATAAAAACATAAGTTTATAAATCGTGAGTTTCATTTCTAGCTTTATTTCTTAATTTCATAATTTTGATTAATTTTGTAAGGCAAGTGATATGCTTGTAATTTTACTTGTAATTCTACTCTTACACATACCGTTGTACCATACATCGAAATCCGTATGGTTTACTTCAGAATCCGATAATTACCGACAAACTATTACCATTCATCAAATATTTGCAAAGTGAGTATGAACATATATATGTTTTAATTATTGCACAAAACAATGTAACTCTACCGTAAAAGTGGTGTCTGCATGAAAAAAATATTCTTTTTTTTTTTTTTTTTCATTTTTTTTATTTTTCAAAAACATATAAACACAATCATTCACATTTACATAGAAACTCCACACAGAAAAAAAAGTAAAAACAAAACTTTCAAAAAATTCAGAAAGAAAAAGAATAAATCTACTTAAAAAACTATCATTCTTACACTAAACAAAACACACACACACACACACACACACACACAAGACAGGGAAAAAAAAAAGACAAGTGAATCAGTTTCATTTAATTTTATACGTTTTATGGTTTATACGTTTAATTTACATAATATTATTGTTTTAGTCATCAGTATTGTTTGTTAAAGTGTTAGATAATTTACTCCATTTTTGTTTGTACGATTCAATTTTATCATTTGACAGTGCAATTGCTTCTTCAATCTGTATCCTTAACAACAAAAAGTTTTTAAAAATATCAAAAGTGGGCTTTCTTCCTTGATATTTCATTTCTAAAATGTAATATTTCATTAGAATAATGATATAATTTACTACATTACTATTTATATTGGTTGTAAGCTCTCCAAAAAAACACTGTTTTTTTACTGTATGAAAAATGAAGATTAATGGATTAGAGAAAGGAATGCAAGTTTGACCATAAATTTTGCACAATATTACATTCCCAAAATAGATGATGAAGTGTTTCTAAACTACTGCAACAAAAATCACACAAATTTGAATTGCATAGATTATATTTGAAAAGCATAGTGTTTGTTGCAGTAAGTCTATGGATGAACTTATACTGAAAATTTCTTAATGTCACATCTATAGTACATTGTAGTGGTATAGTATATATCTTAA